GTTAAATTTTATTTTTTAATAATAATTAATATTAAAAAAATTATTTATTTGTACTTTAAAAATACATATTAGAATAACCAATTATAAACTCTTTTAACAGTTTTTCCAATCACTCTTCTCACCCAATAAAAATTAGTATTCCCAATCAAACTAAAAAATGGATTTTATCGCTTTTCGTTACCCTTCTTCTTTTTAATAACCATTCAAATTGATTTTAGTGTTAACTAAAAAAAATTTTAATTTTTAAACTTAACAACTAAGCTATATAAAATCGTTTGAATTAATTTTTAATCTTAAAAATTCGAAAGTTAGTCAAACCCAACATACAAGTCATATGGTGTCGGTTCCATTTTGATTTTTTTTTAATTTTTCAATTGTGAATTTTTGTGCCCAACCTGTACTTCTCCCTTCCTTAGTTTCCCTGATCAAACCAAACAGTAAGGTTAAAGAAATGAAAGTTGAGGCTCAGGCTTCTTTACCAAAAAAAAAAAAAAAAAAAAAAAAAAAAAGAAAGGAAGAAAACTAATTAATTATGGCTTTGTAATTAATGACTAATTAACTTAACACATACACTATATAAACTAAAAGGCTATTGGCGTTACAATTAATAATATTGCAATGCAAATATGCATTATTAAGTGAATTTCTTTAAGGCTGGCTCTCTCTACCCTCTAGCTAATCTTGTTTTTCAGAACACCGTTGAACCGGCCGGCGAAGCGTTTACAAAATTGACTATGCTATTCCAGTATTTCTCCTGATCACAATCGCCACCGTAGCCTCCGTTCAAGTTCTCCCCATTCTGCCCGCCGGAATCACAAACCATCATTTCGTCGTTGTAACCTTCAATCATATTCTCTGCCCTGAATGATTCATGGAACCACGAACCATCTTCCGGATAAGTTACTTCTTGCATTGGCGCCACCATTGAGTTTTCCATTTTTTCCTTCAGTTCCTGAAGTTGACTTGATTTCTCCAAGGATTTCCATTCACTTCCGCTTGTGTCCGGTTCAATATTCATGTTTCCAACAAAGTTGTCGTTGAATCCAACCGTTGAGGTTGGTATGGCATTGTTCTCTAAAAAGTTCAAGGTGGAGGTCGGAGAGTCGAGGTTATCGGTGCCAAACGTAAACAGCCCAGTAACTACACCTTGCCACGCTTTGAGTACGTCAAGGCATTGCAGCCTTGGCAGTGGAGCAGTTGCTGTTTTGTTTGCCAGTGAAGCTGAAGAAGTGGAGGTCGAGGAGCCGAGCTGTATTTGAGGCGGGTTGGAGACTAGTTTCGACTCTCTCACCAATCTGGCCTCCGCTTCCAACCTGGCGCTCTCCCACTGAGCAATGTGGCTGAGGTTGGCGGCATCCTTGGGGTTGCCGCCGGCAGATCCCAAAGCGTCGGTTTTGGGCTTGTGGGTGACCGGATCAATACCCATTTTGGTTAATCTCTTTTTGAGATGAGTATTCCAGTAGTTCTTGATCTCATTATCGGTCCTCTTGGGTAAGTGAGCCGCTATAGCTGACCACCTGTTTCATAAATGAACTTCGTTGGTTACATAATACGACATTTGATTAAACTATTAAAAAAAATATTATGTAGTTAAATTGTATTAAATTGTTAAACAAAAAATTTAAAATAATTTCACCACAATAAAAAATTTAAAATTAAGCTGAATTTTGGTACCACATGATTTAACTTTTTTTTTTTATTTCTAAAAAAATATATAAAAGGTACAATAATTCAAATTAATCATAACTATATTATTGGGCTATGGTTATATTCATCTACCATTTTATTGAGGTCACTAAAAAATAATTTGATTGAAATATGTTTTTAGTTCTTTATATTATTAAATTTGAAACTTTTAATCACTTATTTTATACTATGAAATTTTAACCTTTACACTTATATATTTAAAGATTTTACCTCTAAACTAATAGAATTTATTAACATAATCTATTAAGAATAAAATATTTATATAATTAATCCTCAAAATTAGAAATATAGCAATTTAGTTTTAAAAATTTACAAATTAAAAAAAATTAGTAAATCAAAGAGAATTAATAGATGATTTTCTCACATATTTTAGAATAGTATTAGATATTTATAATCAAATCAAGAAATTAACTCATTTTGAAATAAGATTTCTAATTGCGATTAAAGAAAATTTCTTAATTAAATTAAAATAAAAAATTTAAGAGATTAGAAGAATACAACAAAAAAAAATTCTTTAATTTTAATTAAATTTCTTTCTTTAGATTGAGCCAAATACTAGATTTGATTATAGATATCTAATATTATTCTTGTGTATATGATAAAATCATCAATTAATTATTTTTAATTTACTAATTTTTTTAATTTTAGAACTTTTAGAACTAAATTGTTAAATTTTTAATCTTTGAGAACTAATTTTGTAAATATTTTATATGAATTGCATTAATGTAGGACTCAAAATTTTTAAACTTTTAAGTTCAAAGTTAAAAACTTTATAATATAAGATGATAGCTAAAAAAAATCATATTTATTAAGATAATGGGCTAAATGTATATTTTAATCAAAATTATTTAGTTTGAATAATATTTTATTAATTTATAATTTTTTCTTAAATAATTAA